AGCCTTGCCAATCACGAAAGCTTGGTGGTCTTCGTTCATTATTGAGACTGCTTTCGCTCTTTTCTGGATCTTTGTGCCCCAGAATGCAGCTTAAGGTTCTGACTAAACTTTCGTTGCCAGCAACAACCTACAATTCGAGCAAAATAGCTCATTTCTTCGAGATATTTCTTCCATGTTAGCGCTAGTGTCATCAGTCCGTGAGAACATTTTGTAAAAACGCCACCAGAAAACGCCAGATGGAGATTTGATGAGACGGCCTTAGTTCGTAGCACCAAACCCAAGGAAACATTCAGTGTTTGGTTCAAGAACATTCATGGATGTGCTAATCCTCCTTATGAGGCTAAAGCATTGAAAGTGGAAACAAAGTCAACGCTAAATATTTAGAAACAGCACACGAGCAAGCAAACGGCAAAAGAGAGTCATCAAGGCAAGTGCATATAAAAAGTGGAGAGCAAAAGATACTCCAAGTAAAAAGAGTATTTTTACATTGATGAAAAAAAGAGAATCTTATGAGACTTGCTCCCGAATTCTTTCAAAGCGCTGAGGGTCACAGGCCCCTGACAATTCAATTTATCAATTTAATCAATTTAAGGAGGAGAAGCATCGGAGACTTCAAAAAGCAAGTAGAAGTCCCTCCAAGATGTAACCACAAAAAGGCGGAAACCAGAATATTTTGCATGGTAACTCGAAAGATGCAAAGGTAGTTGCTGTTGCAAAAGATACTGATTTATGTGTGCTGCTTGTTCATGCAACACAGAAGAAAAACCCACAAATTAGTGGTTTATGTGCATAAATAACAAACAAATCGTCAAGATTTGAGGCATCGCTGAAACTTTTGGTACCAAAATTTGCTGCATTTTATCACAGATTACTGAAATTGTGGGCTGCGACAACTGCATATAAGCACAACATTGATAAGGTTACTGTGAAAAAAGCTAACGAAGAACCAGAAACAAGTCATCATTAAAAGTCTCATCGAAGGAGTTATCGCAAAAGCAAAGACATTCGCGAAACAGCAGTATATAGTGGAACAACATATTAGGGACAAAGCTATTTAGGGACAAAGATATTTATCAAATCTGAAAAAATCATCTGCAGCAGTTCCAGCAGATCCATAATCACTCAATCAGAAAAGAATTAAATTGTATCAACTTAACAAGGTTATTTGGACTACACTGTTTAGGTGCAACTACTACAAGACATGTCCCAAAAGCCTGATGTTGAAATTTGGACGACATACTCGACCGTTTAAAGTCTAAATGGTTTACAGAAAAGCAGCTTCCTCATCTCCGAGAGCTTCCTTTACATCACAAGAATATGAAGGTGACGCAGGAGATGAATTTACCCATGAAGAAAATCATACACTTTCATACCCAGCGCTAAAGACCTATAGTGCGAAGACATCTTGGACAGCCTATAATAGTGCCAAGATATTTTCTGACTTAGCAACAGTCAAATGCAGATGCAGAGAAATAATTGTCCGGTTCAGAGTGGGAGCAAGACTTTGCGACTTCGGAGTAAGAAGTGACTCACTCGTCAGATATTGACTACTACCTGTTTCGAACTTTGGCTATTGCGGTGGGCACAAATTCAATTTAAATGAACTAAATACTAATTATTTTAATTGAAAAACATATGGAAGAAAAGCTTTTGCTGACAGCCAGCGTCATATTAAAACAAAATTATGCTAACGTATCATTTTATGACAATAAAATACTTGATGACGTCATGCAAAATTTGTTATGACGTCATAGTGAAAATACTTATGTCGGCAAATCTTGCTTAAATATATATCATTTGAAAGCTTGCAATGAGACGAGTCAAAATATGTTAGTTGCGTTAAAAAATAACCCTTCAGTGAGGAGCTAACGATGATTTTGTCTGACTTTTTACCGTTAAATGACATCATCAGTCACGTGACATCCAGGCATTTTCAAAAAAGTCACCTGGCAGATTATGAAAGCCTGAACTCCCTACTACCAGAATCCGTTGAGAAAGTAAACATTAGCTTGAATGTCAGATTGTCAAGCTATATGTCCTGTCTATAAGCCGATTTTGCTTGGTACTGTGGCACCAGTTCAATTGCTACCCATTTAGTATACTATTTTAAAGAAAATATAAAAGTCTGGACAATTTTGCCCCAGTCCCTCTCTTCCGAGGATCTACCCTGGGTACCAGACTCATTCCCTATAAAATAGGAGACTTACTTTCATTTTATCTGGAGTGAGTCAGGTACTCAGGGCAGGGTACCGAGGGTCCTTCTTTAGAGGGGATACGATAGAACTATGAAGAAAACATTTGGTAGAGGTCAGGAGTTATTCTAAGGAAAATTTAAAACACCACACATTCAAGTGCTGGTTATTTTTTCTTTATTAAGTTTTATAATTCTACTCTTGACAGGAGCAAACGCAACAATGGGGATGCTGGTTTTAAAAATAGTAAGTCTTGACTAAGTAAAACTCCTTTTTCAACCACTGTGCGGTGTCACATTGGTCTGCCGTGAGATATTATCTGGTGTGCCGTGAGAAATCTCCAATTTCACGTTGTTTGATTTAAAATGCTTTTCCCTTGTGTTAACTGGGATAGCTATTCAAGACACTTCGAAGAGATTGAATTTAAATTGTGCAAAGGCCATGAAGTTTCACTTTTTAACAATTTTCGATAAGAAGACGTAATTTTTAAGAGACACGGTAGACGTAATGTTTAAGAGACATATTTCCACACGCAAGGTGTACCGCGAGGTGTACCGCGAGGTGTACGTACAAACATAAGAGGAAAGAAAAGTTGCGAAAGATCAAAAGCCAGCAATCAAGAGATAACCACAATTCTTTCAAGTGAGCTTCACAGAGTATTTTATGAGCTTGTTGGTTCGCATTTTACATCTTGAAACGTAAAAGACGTTTATTTTACAACCCATTTGCAGTGACGTCGGAACGAAATTCATATTGGGGGGGGGGGGGGTGG